GTCAGCCTGGGGCTGCCGGGAAAGGAAGAGTGAGGGACAGGTACTTCTGTCTCTCAGCTGATATGCTGATAAAGATCATTTGCCCACTGTTTTCCTGAGCTGTCCCCAGGGAGAGGGAACTGGGCTGATCTAGTAACTGGGATTTGCTGCCTGTGCTCCTGGACTGGTGCCCAGACAACCAACACTGGAAGGGAAGGCCAGTGAGACTGCCGCAGTTTTATAATGTAAATACTTAACGTGGGCCATTGTCACTTCAAGAACTTTTACAAAGGTTAGATAATTAATCTTGTTAGCCCCCTGTGACACAAAAATGCACTTTATCCCCAGAGATGAGGTATCTCTACTTGTCCAGTATGGAGCTGTTGTGTCTGATCCTGGCAGATCCTGTCTCTGGCTTCATGTCCAAGTCGCTCGGATTGTTACTGTTCCTCTGCTATTCCAGTTTAACTGCGATTTCAGTGGGGTCTTTGTGCGAGATCCAGCGACAAGGGATGGCTGACCCAAAGGAGTTGACCACGTGTGAACAGCTCCTGTGCTGCACGTGGAGTGTGTGTGTTTGTACCAGGTCTTCTCGCCTCTTTCACCTTCACTGCTGCTCTCCAGGCTTTTTGAGCACTGCTCTGTGTTTGAATTTCTGCTTTTTTTGGCTTCTTGTTTGTGTTCAAAATCTTACCCTGTCTTTCCAGCGCTCCCTTTTCTTCTGCTGGTGCATCTGTGCCTAATTCAGATAAGTGTTCAGTGTGTCCAGCCCCCCACTCCTAACCTGCTGTCTCTCCCCATTCTCCCTTGGCCATCTTTTCCCTTTCTGCTCTTACTCACCTGGCTGCTGCTTCAGTCTCCAACTTGCTCTTGAGTCTTGTAACTCTTTTCTCCTCTACTCCTTCACTTCATCCCTCTTTCCATCCTGCTGCATCAATTATCCTTTTGTTGTTGGATGGAGACTTTGTCCTGAAAGTCAGTGGTGATCGTGATTGGTGTTGCCTTCCAGGTGAGGATAGATGAAGGAACGTGATCTGGGCGTAAATGGATTACGGCCATCAGCTAACCAGATTTTCAATGTTTTCCTTCATTATGTGCTGTGGGGTTTTATTATTATTTTTTTAAACTCTTATTTTGTACATTTTCATTTCAAATCCCCACAGATTGTCTCCACATCTGTGAGCTCAGGGATCTAAAAGTTCATTAATCTTCCAGAGGCACATCAGTTTTCGGAGATCTGTGCTATGCTTTGTTCTTGTTTTTGTTACGGTTTTGTTTTCCACTGGAGCATAATCTATAATATGGGGATTATCAGGAGCAATGAGCAGACAGAAAGTATGCAACAAACTAAAGCCTGACTTTAACTATTTGTGATTGATCCTAACATTAAACCCAGTTAGAGATCAGTATCTTTACCTGCCTTGCAAATGTTTCTCGAGGTTGTTCAGACTCAAGACTGTTGGAAGTGATGAATAGACTTTCTCCATTTCATGTGGTGTTTGGGGTTTTTTTAATTATTCCTTAGTTTCGTATTTGTGCCCACAGTATCTAGTTCACTCTGACCCACTGCACCAAGTACAGGCCATTGGCCAGGCAGGATTGTTCTTTAAAGATATTATCTCTGTATTGTGTAGATGAGGTAATGTGTCCCTCTAAAAAAATCAAGTCCTCTTTGAACTAAGCTTTGGAGCCATAAAGTGAAGATGCAGCTACTCATAAGAAAACTTTCTTAAAGAGTTAATTACAAGAGGTAGGAGGAAAAATGAAACAGGAAGGTGCAAGGCTGCTGCTCACAGGAGTGATGTGGACAGGAAGAACCAGGGACAAGCTCTGTATGCACTGTAGAGTCCTCTCTGGTGTCTGCCTTGGCCAGGATCAGCTCTGAGCCTGCTGCAAGGGTCACAGATGCCTTTGCCGTTAATGCAAATACAGCTGAAAATACCAACCCTTGTTTCGCACAGAGGTGAGACCTTGATGATCCCCCTCTATCAGCAGTGTGTCCCACAGAGATGTGCCTAACGCATCTGCTAAATGGGTTGGTGCCTCCAAGTTGCGTGAACAGTTCAGCCTTCCGCCTTCTCTGGGATGCTCCTTCCTGTCCCTGCCTTCTGTCATGAGGAAACTGTTTTGGTCCCTGATCTGTGATGCTGTCAAGAGAGTTGGGATGGAGATTCCCATCACAGGGAAAGCAAATTGTGCCCCATGGATAGTCCATCTCCCTCTCCATCTTGGGCAACTCTTACAGTATACAGAGTACGAACACCCACCACAGGTGGGGTCATGCATTGCTTTGCCATCTGAGGGGATGTTTGATGCTGCTCCTCTGGGAAGTGGACCAGGACACAAGCTCGGGCTGAAGGGAAATGCTGCGCTGTGAATGAGCACCTTTTTGGTCCTCTACTAACTAAATGAGCTCAGTGCAGAAGACGGATTTTTTGCACTGAGCTGTGCTGTTCTGCGTAGAGGTTTTGCTAGGCTGTAGTCAGGTACAAGAGGTGAGGTTATGCAGTCAACCGCAATGTTCCCAGAGTATGGAATGAGAACACGGTGTCCTGCTGAGGCAGCAAGCTGGCTGCTTCTCCCCACCTCTGATGTCAACATGAACAGGCATAGATGAGTGGGCAAGGAGAAGAAAAAATTCGAGGCACAGTAACTGCTGCTGGTGTTTGTGCATTCTGAAGATTTCTGGGTGTAAATACACACATGTTCAATGACGTCACTTTTAAACATTCTGGAGCAGGTGTATGGTGGGTCCAGAGCCTGAGCTTGCTGCCTGGGGGAAGTGGTAAAGCTTTACCCCAAGTATAATAATTATAATAATAGTAGACATAGGTGATTATAATGTAGCATATTATTAATACTATTATTGTGATAATTATCCACCAGCTTTCTTTCCTTAGTTTTAGGAACTAAACTGGTCCCAAATTGCTGTGCTTGTCTGTACTGGATGCAGCCTTTGGCTCCACATGACAGGCCTTGTGCTTCAGCAGAGGGCTGGGGTGGCATGGATGTGTGGAGGCGTTAGATTTCTGGATTAGACCTCTCAGCCTGTAGCCCATTGCTAACAGTGGGTTCAAAGGGAAGGTGCAGGATTCCCCAGGCTGCACAACTGGAAAGTGCTGCCTGGAGCAGTCTCTTCCCAATCCCTCTTGGTGGAGGCGTTCTGCTCAGAAGCAGGACGGTTTCCTGTGGATGTTCTTGTTATTCACAGAAATGCCTGATCCTTTCCAGATTCCTCATGAGCTCTGGTCCTTGGGACCACATGAAAGTGATTTGCACAGCAGTGTTCTGTGCAGTGTAAAAAAGTGTTCTTAATTAATTTTCACCTTATTGCCTTTCACTTTCTTTTCAAATCCCTCTTTTCTCATGTCAGAAAATATGTACAGACCAGTGCAA